TATTCTTCATATTAAACAAAAATATGTTTGAAAAATAAGAATTATTGTTAGTAAAGATAGAAATAGCTAAAATACAAAGAAAAAAAATGAATTAATGTCTTAATCATAGTCCATTTTCCTAGTTAAATCAAGGTTCTAAATATTGATATGCTGATATGGGTGTATCGGGCAGTATCGATACTGTTTTTTATACTTTTTTTATTTTTTCAAAACCGGTTCAAGGGGCCGGTTTAAGGCTCCTCCACCCCTTGAACCGGTATAGGCCGATACATGTCGATTTTTTGAACCTTGAGTTAAATAGGTTAATGATTCAACCAGTAAGGTCATTTGGTTGCTGACTATTATCATCATCATCATTTGATATTGTCACGTGCAACGCGCGTGCACTTTTACTAGTAAAGTCATAAGGTTCAAAAATGAACCAATGAAAACCAGTTTGCAGAAGAGCAAACCAGACTAAGCAAAACCAACCCAAGCCTAACTAACCAACTCTAGTTCCAATGCTTCAACCTAAATCAAAACCAAATCAATCAACTTGTAGTGGTTGTAGTGATTTTACCTGAAACTTGAGTTTACTTGGCTTAGCAGGGCTTACCTAGATTGCTTCCTTCCCTCTACTAAAATTCTCATACATGCACATGTCTAAAGCCAATAAACCAACATTCCTCAAGTTTTTTTTATCAGTAAATCAAGATAGTTGATCTAAGGGACACTCAAAATGAGTGACTGTAGTTTTCGGAATATGGCATTTCTAATGGCAAACAGAGCTAGACTCTTCATCTCTTGGGAGGCTCCTCTCTGCTTGGTTCACATTCCAGTCTTTCCACAGTTTCTCCACTTCTACCTGTATGGTTTTACTTTACACCAATGGGTCCTCTAATTAATAGAACCTCACAAATTTACAGGTGTCAATGGACACACTTAAATTTTGATTCAATTCCATAACTTAAGTTTGATTCCTTGACCAGAGGCATTTTCTTCTGAGGAAAAGATTCATGCTCAGTAATCCCTGCTGTTATATTTTCTTAAAGATGCAACTTGCCTCAAACAAAACAAAGACATAAATTGGGACTCCAGTTTATGGAAAGACTCCGATTCATCTAGTAATCTATTTGTGTGGATTTCTAGTGTGTAGTCATTTACTTTTGGTGGTCTTCTTTAACCTATTTTGGTATATTTGATTTGATTTCTTTCTGTGGTGTTGTTCAGGTTATAGGCCTATATCATCCTTTGGCTTTGAGGCTTTTTTGCTAGGGACTCACTATAGATCACCAATAAATTACTCAATTGAACTGCTTGAAAGCGCATCAGATCGTGTTTTCTATATCTATCAGGTAATAATCACCATCATTTGTTCTCCACATAATTTGATCATTCTAAAAATTTTGGAGTCTACTGTAAAGTCATATTCTTTTCTTTTATTTCTTTCCTTCTATTTTTATATATCTTTTATTTCTTTCCCTCTTTTTTTAGATATATCTTTTATTCCTCTCCCTCTTCAGCTGTAATCTTATCATGATAAGGTAGTTCTTTGCATTTTGCTGTTTCATTGAAAAATAATTCTTTGGTTTATGGTAATTGGTTCTCCTAGAATCCATATTTCGTCAGTGATTTAAGGAAACATTTATAAGATAATTCTAAAATTGTACAATTTATTGGAAATAAAGTTTTCACTGGTCAAAAAAAGAAAAACAAGAAAGGAAGACTTGGACAGGTTTCACATAAAATCTTTTCTAAATGGAGTCAGATTTACATAAGTTTGTTTTCAATTGGAATGGAACAGTTCCTTGGGTTATGATGTCTGAGGTAACTAAAGATTTTCTCTAACCGTCAATCTCCACCAATAACTTACAAACTATCAATCTCCTTCCAGTTGTACCGGCTTTTGATTTCTGGCTTTTGTTTCACATGAAACTCTAAAAACTGTTCATCAGTGGTGGAGCTTCTTCAACTTCGAACTAATAACACTCCTCTTTCGGATAGAAAGTACAAATGAAGAAGATTTCAAGTCTAACAACAACAAAAAGAAATCCAATATATACGTTGATTCAATTTCAACCAAATCTAATATTTATCATCAATGTTGAAATCAAATCTCAGGGATTTTTCATCAACTTAGGTAAAAGAATCTAGCAGCAATAAATACCTTTGCCAGAACGAAAACTGAGGAAAAGTTACGTCAACGTGGTCAGGTCTGGTCTGCAATAGAAAGACAGGAGGAATAAAAAAGAGTGTGAAAGAGATGAGAGGAAGAAGAAGAGGATGAGAGAAGAGAGAGCAAATTCGACGGTTACTTACATTGCCGTCGCCGAGCTTCGGTCCAAATTCGTTCTTCAAACTTCAGCTGCAAGGAGAGAGGGACGAGAGACGAGGGAGAGGGTTAGAAAGTTGGAATCGGGTAGGTAGATTTTAGAAGCGTTTGTGGGCTTTTATGTCATTTTGTTTTTTTTTTTTCGTAGGTGTTTGGGTATGTGTGAGTTGTAATTATTTTTTGTTTGTAAACAGTGTTATTATATAGGCCTTTTTTTTAAAAAAAAAAACAGCATTGATTTTGTTTGATATCAATGAATAGTTTTCAGTTAGCAAACATCATTGCACTACTGGCAGTAAAGGTCTCTTTCTAAAAAAACATTGAATTTGGTTTTTCTTTATACCACTTTCCTGATTTCTAAAACGTGATATGAAGTAACGTTTTTTTCTGTAAAGATAATACCAAACAAAAGGCCATTTTTTTATGTGATGTCTTTTTTTTTCATTTTTCCATTGTTTTACAAATGTGTCGCCTGCCAAAAGGAAATCCGAGGGAAACTGTCCCTTTTCAAGAAATCCGAGCCCATAGATAAGAGAAAATTGGGTTAGGTCTTTGCTTATTTTCCTTTCCTATGTTTTGATTTTTTACAAAGGATTTAATCAAATCATACCTAGATTGCAGGGATGAGATTGTGCACTCAAAAGTGGTTCTTTTGTGGTCTGGTCTGCTGTAGTAGAAAAACAATGAAGGAATATGAAAAAAAAAAGTGACTGTATGAGAGAGAGAATCATAGGAATAAGAATAAGAGGGTAGAGGAGAGATATATAGACGATGACTTACCTCATCGTCGTCGATGTTTTAGTTAAAGATCGGATCTTCAAATTTCAGTTGCCGAAAGAGGAAGTGGCAGAGAGAGGATTAGAAAGTTGGATTTGGAATTAGGTAGAGAAAAAGGGTTTGAGGGGTTTTGTGTTATTCCGGGTCCGTTTGGTTTGCAGCTGAAATTGGAATCAAAATGCTTCAAAATTGGGTTTTTTTATAAGCCAAAATCGAAATTGGAATCATCTATTCCCATAGTCTGTTTGGTTCAACAAGAATCAAGATGGGAAATTGTAAATTGTAATAAATTGGAATGGCAATGGGAATGGTTATTCCAATTCCAAACCCCTATTCCCACGAATCAAACAGGCTCATTAACATTTGTTTCTAATTTTAACAAGTGGAAATGGGATTTTGATTATTGGGAGTGGGCCCGCAATTTCCCATTTCACCCGAAATGAGAACCAGATTCCAATTCTGCCCAATCAAATGCTTGGAATCCAATTTTGAACACTTGTTCATGAAAACCAAACGGGCCCTAAGTTTATCATGAGCATGTCTAGGGACGGTAATTTCTACCCTATCCAATGGGTAATCGCCCCAATGTTTTTTTCTTTTTCTTTTTCTTTTTTTTTTTGCGTGAATAATAAGTTTTGAGGCAGGGATAGGTTTTAGGAGGTAAGATATGGTTAGGGGTTCAATTTGACAATTTTCTCCAACTGAACTGACCTAGAGTTCAGAACCAAACTGACCATAACCAAATTCAATTTGATTGGGCCCTAATTCCACATAGATGACAAACATTGATCAATAACTAATAAATAATTTATAATTAATAAGTGTTATTAATTAAGAGTTAGAATGCCCTAAAGCCTAATAGTTTAAATTAATTACCTATTGTTAATTAAAAGCTATGCCAATGAGAAATGGGCAAATTCAGAATTTTTCAAAACAATTAATAATTAATCTAGGTTTTAATTAAAAGTTATTCACAAACAATTAAAGCCCAATGGGAAATTGCCAAATTGGTCATTGGGAAATATAATAATTAATTAGCATAAAGTATTAAATATATCACATTAAATGTTTAATATACTTCATTAAATAAACACAAATTTGGTTTTTGTTCAGTTCAATTAAAAATCTCAACCAAACTGAACCAAAACCGAAAATTGATTTAAAAAAAAAAAAACAAAAACCGAACTGAACTTGCTTATTCAGTTTGGTTTGATTCAATTTTCGGTTTATCAATCGAATTTGAACACCCCTATGTATGATATTAGGCTAAACCCAACCCTTCCTACCCTGTTCGAAAGCATACAAACTTTATGTACTACGTGTTGAATTTAATAATATTTTGAATTGTATATAAAGGATAATTGATAGTTTATATGTTTTTTACATGTCTTAATCAAATAATTGAAAATTTTGTTGTTGGTTTGTATATTTTTACTTACTTATTACTTGTATATAATTATAAATAATAGGGAATTAGATACAAGTTCTAAATCCAACCTATCCTTACTATTAAATACAAAAAAAGTAAGGTCGAAAAGAGTTTAGTTTCTCAAAATCCAAACTACCCTGAATTTTGGAGTGGATAAGGGATGGAAGATTTAGGGATAAAATTTACAAAACTCACCCCGTTGAGACCCCTAAGCATGCCCTCAATTTAAATATCGAACGTTAACTATTTCATCATAGTTGTAGTCTAAGTTCAGGTAACAATCACGTTGACTCCTTGACGGTGGAGCAGTCGTGTTGAGGAAAGCAAACTACCATTTTTTCGTCTTATATTGATGTCGGCAAGAGCATAAAGGATATTTTATGAGTTTTCTCAAACAATGGAATAAGTAGAGAGAAAATAAGGGGTAATCATGGGCCTGGCTTAGTACATGTGATAAGGACTATATGCCTGGGCCCGGCTTAGCCCAAGTTCAAACTTGGGATTAGATTATATAAATCCTAGTTGATTTAATAAACTCTCTGGATCAAACCCCCCAAAAAAAAGAAAAGAAAACAAGAGCCAAAACCCACATTGAATTGTAAATCCGCACTATGATTCAATTTTGTTAGTGTTTTGGAAATAATTAGATTATATAAATTTGCATTATAATTAGACCTGTTTATGGGCCGGGTAACCTAATGGGCTGGCTTGGCCTGATTTGTTGTTAGGTCGGGCTTAGTCATAATTTTAGGCCTGTGGGTTCGGGCCCAACTTTTTTTTTTTGGTTGGGTTTGGGCTTTTTCAAAAAAGCTTGGCCCGAGCCCGAGCCCGAGCCTAACTTAATACTATATATTAAATAATAAAAAATATGTATGCAATATTTTTTTTTTGTTCTTCTTCTCGTTTTTCCAATTAATAGTGAGATGTTTATTATTTTTGAGTTTTGAAGGTTTTTAATATAAATAAAACACTTTTTATTGAATAAAAAATGAAAAAAATGTATTTTCAAATTTTTGATCAGGCTCGAGCCCAGGCTTTGGGCTTTATATGAGGGTCGGATTCGGGCTCGGGCCTGAGTGTATTCTGTTGATACATATACAAAACCCGCCCCGAACCTAGCACGACCCGATCCATAAATAGGTCTAATTACAACTAAAAGTCATTTGTTTAGAAAATAAACTTGTCAATGAAAAACTAACCCAACTTTTCGTTTATATGGACCAAAATGCACTCTATATATTTGCATTGTTTCCAAATGTAACCTAAAAGCTGAAATCAAAGCTTAACGACGTGGAACCATGAGCTAAGGTTGCTTAAGTGTCAACAATTAGCTTGAAAGCATAGTGGAATGCCCGTTTGAACCTCACAGCGATTATGGGTAGCAAGGAGAGGAACATGCCGCCGGTGAAATGGACTTTGAATACAGTGTCAGGGGAGGAGCATGCGAATAGCAAAATGATGTTGAGAAGATGTTAAGGTCCAGGGAGCTAGTCGAGGAAAATTTTTGGGGCTTGGTTGTGTATCTATGTTCTGACGGAGGCCATAAGGGTCACACAGGGGAAAGTGATTAAGGCAAGGAGTTTCAAGGACAAGTGGTGATTCTGTTAAATGTGGGGAGCGTAAGCATTTTATTACTAGAGTATTTGAAACCAGCAAATGACAAGAGAGGATCTCCTACAAGAAAAATGGTGTACACACGCATACAATGAATTAGGGTATGCTTCTCACAAAGCGCTTCTCATAATCACATCCCATCATGTATTGGGAGCATCTTCCGATGAATAATAAATACAAGTATGGGAAATGTTCCTAATGTGCGGTCAGGACATTAGTGTGAGGAAGATATCTAGACCTGCATATAATGTACATTGGGAATGTATTCTCCAATTGTATGTTAAATTGGTGAGGAGATATTCTTAATATATGGCTAGATTTTGTGATCCAAGGTGTATGTACAATTTTTCCTTTCAAAAAATCATAGGCGTTGGGAATTGGGGTCATTGAAACTTGGAGGATATGTTTATGAGGGGTGTCTAAAAACATTTGTCTTTAGAATGTGTTATTTGCCCCCATTAAGTTCCACTTTGTTTGTTGTTGGGCTACAAGCAAATCCGTTCCTAGGGTACAACAAAGCATTGGATAAGAATTTGCAACCATCAAAGTTGAAGAGTTTCTGAAAAAACCTTATGTGAGACAATAGCAGATCGAACTGAGAGACATGAGTGGTTTCACACTCCTTAAATAATTTATGAAGAGTCATGGAACAGATGATGGTGTTGGTTCAGAAAAAGCTCTTTGAACAGTCACAATTTCAAACATTGTGATTGTTGAAAAGGTAGTTAACAGTTAATGATTGTTAACTTTGAATAGTGCCTATTGATCACACCCGATTAGATCGTGACCATTGAAACATCAATGGTTAGACTCACACCAAAATTCAAAGTTGCCCTTCACAAGCCACGCAGGTGCAAGCAAAATACACCTCTAAACCGCCCCATTGCACCGCACACATGTGCGCGAATTGCACAGTAGCAAGTCTCTATATTCTCCTCTTTATTTATAAGGAGTATAAATAAGTTCCTATTTAAAAACTCAAAACAAGTTTTATAATTTTCTAATGTGGGACAAGTTGAAAATTGGTTTTAGTAAGAGAAAAAACTATTTTCTAAGACATGTGTGCATGTGTGTTTTTCATGAAATTAATAAATCAAATCCCATCGGGTTTAATCTCTAATGAGATTAAAATCCAACAATCCCCCACTTTGATTGATCAATTGCATAGGTTTATCTCGATCCAAACTACTATGACATAGTTATGCATACAAATGATGTTTTATAACTTAAACCTTCTATTAGAAATTTAATATAGATATTTTAGAGCCTTGTCAAAACTATCGGTGGCAAGACCTTAAACCAACTACTCTCAAGATAGACCAGAGATACCCATACACATAAAAATGTAAAATCTCTACAAGAGAAATTTTGCTAAATACTATTATGGCCATATCATTCTTTATTGGTTTCGTAAACAATCCCGATAACTGAAGACTGTACATACAAAATACAAGCTTTTGCACATCCACATATTTGTATTTGTATTATTTTCAAATTGAGCCTAAGGCTGTGTTTATTTGCAATACAAATGCTGAATTAGAGTATTTATGTAGCTTAGTTCGTGTTTGCAAGTATTTGATTTCCATACAAAAATGTAATGATTAAGATATTAAAAATGTATATTTTTTTTTACATCTTTGTGTTGTGAAAATAACATATTAGTATACCCATTTGTTGGATACAACCTTATGCTCTTTTGATAGTTGATGTGTTTGACCAAAATTTCTAGACATTTGATGATGGGGCCATGTTTTGTACTGATTTCAAACAAAAAAATATTTGCATTACAATCAAATACAATATAAGCAAATTAATATCAAAATTGGTATGAAGTATCTCTTAAACTCTCCACCCACCAACTCACACATGGGACCAAACAAACTATTATGAGTGGTGCGATATAAGAGAGCATTTACATCATTGGGTTTGTGAGAAAAAACACACCATATAAATTTTTTTTATTTTTGAGGAAACACACCATTGATTTATAAAATTTGGCGGCTTTTTGGTTTTTCTTGCTCAACAATCGAAGTAGTGTGGTAGCTAGATTTGATGATATACTCCTTACTTGTGGAGAAGGGCCATGCTTGTTCGTCTTCACGCGGACTTTCATATTGAGATGGATCACAATTCACAAAAACGTTAACCGCATAAGATGTAGAAAAATAAGCATCCTTGGGCCCCCATTGTGGTTAGTTTGAAATGGCAAATTTTGGAACATGCCACACCATACCAAAAGGTTACTATATCATAGGCCTTAGATTTGGAATATATATATATATTCTTATTAAAATACTTAAAATCATTGTTTTTATGAGTATTCCAAAGTGCAATGAGTTATGGAACTTGAGAATTTAGTATGGATTAAATTTTTTGATATATTCAATTTCGAAGTCCATCCTAGTTTAGCCTATAGAACCAAATGAAACGAGACAACATAATACAAACACCCCTTTAACCTTCGTTATTTCACAAGCTGAGGGCTTGGGGGATTACATATTGAAGTTTAGGGCAGTGGGAAGCCATGGATTTTCCCATACAATCACTTTCTCACCATTTTCAATTCGCCATATTAAAGGCATTTGTTGAATCCATAAAGGTTTGTTTCTATTCGCTTAAAAGGATGGAGGTGTTGGACAATAAAGCAATTTAGGAAATCCCATCCCCTTGTATCGCCTTTCCCTCATGGATATCAACCACCAAGCTAATTTACACAATACCTAATTACAAAGTTTTCAGTGTCCAGTTTATTGTTTGTTGTAGGAGGAAAATATCTAATTAGGGTTTGAGTGGTTGAGGTGAATCTTCTTGCTATTAAAGGTGCCATTCAACTAGCAATTCTCCAAGGTCAGTGGTCGTAAAGTATGGTTCTTTGGTTCTTGGTATGTTGTCTTTCTTTTGGATGAAATGGGGTCTTTTGTTTTTAATAGGGTCCTAAATAGTTTAGCGCACTGTTTGGGTTACATCCATCAAACCGCTTGATCTGGATAGTCGAACAAAAAACCGATGGTTACAGCAGTTCCGTTTTTTAGATCATTTTTTAAAACCTTGGTTTAGCGCACTATCTGGCATATAAAGGCAAATATTTTTTCGAAGTTTTTCTTTTCAGCTGTCTCATCTCTTCTATCTCGACATTTCCGGTTGTAATCCTTTAGTTTATGTTTTATATTAGATTGTTTTCTTATAGCAACAACGACAATTCATTTGCTCATTTGCTCGTTTGACCAAAAAGAATTAACATGCTTTTGTTCATTGATCACAAAGCCCATTTGAAACTCTAAAATGGCTTAAGTATTATTATTATGTCGGTAGAGGCGGTTGCAACGGCCTCATTTTTATTATATGGCATAGATATAGAAATCACCTTTTTCTCTTACAAAATTGGCAAATTGAATAAAATATTAGTACCATTTCTGAAACATTTTGATTGTTTATTTATCTTTGAATTATTTTTGTTGAAAACTTAAAAGACGTTAGGGCCAAAATGTTATTTTATATGTTGTCCAAGAGAACCAGTAAAGCGATTGCAGGGGTAGATGGGGTGCCTTAATAAACGACCCAATATGTAAATGGGTTGGCCGGGCTATGTCCTCAAAAATTTTGTAGGCCTAATGCGGGCCTGGTCGAGTGGTCGGGACTAGGGGTGCTCACATTGAACCGACATGTTCGGTTTTTAAATCTAACTGAATTGGTTAATCTGTCAACCGGTTAATTGCAGTTCAGTTTTTTTATGCACTGAAAATTTAAAAAAGAAAAGAAAAAAAAAAACTTTTCCTCTTGCAGATTGAGAGTGAATAAAACTAAGACTAAGATGAGATGAGAGATTGAGAGAGAAGAGGAGGACGTTGGGGAAGAAGAAGAAGAGTGTGAGACAGTTGGTCACCTGGTCGGACATCGGTGACGGTGACTTGGTCATCGGAGGCCGTTGGTCCGTTAGGGAAGAAGAGAACTGAGACTGAGAGTAACAAAGAAATATTAGTCTCAGAGAGAAAAGAAATGGGAAATTAGAAACTGGAAAGGCATGGCGGAGGTAGGAGGCTTATTAGGGACTAAGAGAGAGACTGCCAGTCTACCAACCTTTTGAAGAGAAAGGCTGAAAGCCTAAGTTCGCCAGTCGCCAGCCTGGCTGCCAGTCTGCCAACCTTTTGAAGAGAAAGGTTGAAAACCTAAAACTTGAAAGTCTCAGTTCAACAATTTGACACTCTCAGATTGCCAAACCTTTTTATTATATTTTAAAAAAATATATAATATATATAAAACTATATATATCGGTTGGTTCGGTTAACCGTCATTTTTTTAAATGGTTAATTGAAATTGTCGATTTTTTGAAAACATCGAACCAAAACCAAATTGATCGATTCGTTTTATCGATTTTTCGATTTGGTTTTAGTTGTTTTTTTGGTTTTTTTTTGCTCACCCCTAGTCGGGACGGGAAGGAAATGGTCGCACCAATTTTTAAGCCATGTTGGACAGCGGTTTGGAATAGCAAGAGCGGTCCAGAACCGTTATAATTGGTTCGTTTGATTTGATTCTTTCGAATATACCTGATCCATTAACAGCCTTGTATTGGCATCCCCAGTCACGATACAACGGTAGAGTTGTCAAATTTAGTCCCTAGGATTGGAATAAACATTCTTCTAGGTTGTGTTTGATTTCCTACTTTCCCTTTACTTGAGTTTGGATCTGCTCCCGAGCGCGCTGACAGCATGTTTCAGCCATGCATCTGAAACATCAACATACTTATAAATTATAATGGGAAGATGTTTTCAATGCACGGATGAAAGGTGCTATCAGAGAGTTTGGCTTTTGTCAGGGCAAGTTGGTGCTAGCATTGAACAACCCCTTGCAACCGAGACGGGATCTGCTCCTCACAAATGGGCGCCTCACATGCACAGTATCCACTGTGTATTGAGAACATCTCCCGTGAATAATAATTAATTAATACGGGAGATGTTCCCAATGCATGATAGGATGTGCCTGTGAGGTGCCCTGTGTGAGGAGTAGATCCGGTCTCCTTGCAACCGATGATAATACCAATCCTAATGATGTCATCATCGGGAGATGTTTTCAATACATGGCGGGATGTGTTATGGGACACTATGGGGTGCCCCCTTGTGGCACACATATTTGAACTCCATTGCATTGGAAATATTTTCTTTAAAATAAAGGGAGAATGACCAATCAGCCCAAATCAAAATTTTATAGCCCCAAAGTATAGAGTGAATGCATTCTGACCGTGAATTGATGCCAAATTCATGGGCACGAGGGAGAGGGCTAGTAGTAAGGGGGGCTGAAATTCAGAATTCTGCATTGTATGTATCCGTACTTGTCCGTAAAATAAATCACCTAAATATGAAATATTCCCAACGTAAGGCTGTTGGAACGGGCTCTGCCCTGATCTTAACGGACTCTGCTACTCGCGCCTCACATGCACATCCACCGTGCATTAAGAACATCTCCCGTGAATCGAAACTTATAAGTACGAGAGATGCTCCTAATGCATGGTAGGATGTGCGTGAGGCGCCCTAAGCGACGAGCAGATCCGGAGCCGGACTCGCTGTAAAGTGAGGCGCGTTGAGGAGCAGATCCAAACTCCAAACGAAACACCAAGCTACTAATCATGGGGATTTACACGTATATTTTTCGTTAATTATTAACAGTAAACTAAAATTCATCTCTCTTCCAAGTTCCAACCATCCCCCCCTTCTCTCTCCTCTTGCCGCTATTGATCAAAGCGCATGGAAGCCATGAAACTCTTCCTTAGTCAGCAGTTAAAACCCTAGACTTCCACGGCGAATTAAAACCTTGATTTCTCCAAAGACGGTAATGGAGACTGTAGATGAAGACTTGCCGTCCTCTCAGTCCCGGCCCGAACCGAAGGGCGTCCATTATCTGGCAAAGTGCGTGCTCAGGGGCAGTGCAGTTCTCCAGGCCGTTCATGGACATTTTCGCTCTTCATCCTCCTTCGACGTCGTTTTTGGAAAGGTTAGTATCCAAAGTCGTCTCTCTCTCTCTCTCTTCCCCCCTCCTGGAAAATTTTCTATTTGTTAAACCCGGTGAAGTTTCAGGATTATGCTTTAATTGCTATCGGAGCAATGGTATTAGACATTATGCTCTGATATCAAAATAGGAATTATGCCATTATGGTAATAAATATTCCATATTTCCGTAATCATTTTATTTTATTTTTTCAATTTCCACTTGTATCGTACTCCATGTATCTTGCCAGGATTTGTAGGATTGGTTTTGCTATGTTGAGATGATGGATCTCTTCATTCATTTTTGTTTTTTTTTTTGGTTTTCGACATTGTTTGGCAAACGGCTTTCAGCGTTTCTCCCCTTTTTAACAGCATGGAAAGCGAAACTTGGTGCTTGGTAGGATTTTTATGATTTTTCCACATTCACAAGGTGGCCTAGCATCCATTGTTTTATGGGTCAAGAATGAACAAATTTCTTGGAAAATAGCAAGAGTTGAAGACAGACACAATAGTTCTTTTGGTCATATATAGAAAAGATTATGTTGATAACTTATTCTCCCACCAAACATGCTTGAAGTTCTGCTTGAAATGCTTCCTTATGACTACAGCACTCATTACCAGGTCTTTATAAGACGGCCTCGTGTAAACTATTAGGAGATTTCTCGCACTTTTGGAAAGAGCGACAAGAACCCAAATTCAAATCAGTAAAAATAGTATACTGCTAAGTTAGTAGTGTGACCATGGACCTTAATCCTTCCCATACAAGGTGCATTTCAAACTTGGGGCCGTAGCAGTAGCAAAATAGATTACAGCTGAGTGCAATTGAAAATTTCTTCCACTGCCCTATCACTGAAGCAGGCCAAAAAAATTAAACTTCTGGATTATCAGTGTAATAATTAATTATATTCTGAAAGGCAACAATAATATGCATTAGGAACATAAAGATGGATGTCTGTTGGCAGTCCTTATGTGGTATACCATATATATATATATTATTTTGTATCTTTTTTCTTTTTTCTTTTGATAAGGATGCACTATTGCATATTCAAGGGCTCAATATTTTTTGTAGGAAGTTACATGACTATAGTTGACTTGAAGGGTCATTACAGCCTGGTGATTATAAATCACCTGAACTTAAAGGGTATAGACTTTTACATGTGATCTGAGTTTAACTTTTCTAGACTATGGATATAGGGTTATGGGAGTAAGTTACTATTGCATGTGATCCAATTTTGACTATTCTAGAACAAGTAAGGGAGTAAGTTACTAACTAGAACTAGAAGGGATGTCACATTCCTCTTCTTTTCCCCTTTGTTCCCCCAACTCCCCTAGTGATGATGGAAATCAACTTCTATGCAATGATCAGGAGGATGCAAAGATGTCTTTATGTTGCTTCAAAGAGCAACCACTTCAGCCTGAATCCTTCTCTACTTCTCAAATGTTTAAGGCCAATCTACAATCTACTTATAGGGCGCATTTCTTTGATCAATAAATTTAGTTATAGGATTGATACTCATCATTTCTTCGTTCAAGAGAAAACTTCTGACTTTTTTTGTTAATGTTCTTTTTTTATGGTAAATGACCAAAAAGAGGTCTAAATATGGAGCAAATGCAACACCACTGCTTTCTAGATGTAGGAGCAGAGCATTTTAAGCACCAAAACCAAAACGAATAAATAGGTTTGCATATTCTACTCATTCTCTGGGGATATTATCACCTTAGTATAAAACATCCCCTAGTTGCTCTAACCTTGCCTAGGCAGTCTGCTAAGGCATTGGCTGATCATGGAGTGCATCTGATTATCTGAACACTATGCTCAATCTATATACCAAGGCTCTTGCATTTCTAATTGAATGTTGCAATCTCTAGGGTTATTGGTGCCATCTCTAATCCAATCAATAATTTCTTAGGAGTCTTCTTTAACTCATGTTGCTCAGAGCCTAGTTAAAACATCACTTTGAGTCTTGAAACTGTGTAACTTTTTCTCTGTTTCAATTAAGTCCCCCACCTCTAGTTGTAATGAGAAAATTATAGTTGCTTTTTCAGTATGAGTCTTAAGTTGCCAATTCTTGAAGGTCCTTGGTTACCTAGTGAGCACCTATCAGAATTGAGTTTAATATCTCTATGGAGCAGGGTGGTTCCTACTCTTGAATCACTCTTCTGCTAATCAATGAACTCCAGATGCATGAATTGCCATCTTCTGATGACTGTAGTTTATTTTGAAGTCTATAACTCATTCTTTTTTGAGATCCAATGGGCCACATTAATAGTAAGAATCGTGGTGAAAACAGTAGTAACACGGGTGGTGCAATTAAAATTGATAGATAGGAGGTACCCCAAACTAACCACTTATGGTACTTTGTACCAATCATCTGTAATGAGTGAGAATTGAAGAGGATGTTGCCCATAGAATTACAGCAGGGTGGTCAAAGCAGAGAGGTATATCTAGTGTGATATGTGGCCAGCATGTATCAATGAGACTAAAAGGAAAATTTTATGAGACAGGTATAAAACCAGCATTGTTATATAGGTCAGAGTGCTGGATAATCAAGAAACAACATGTTCAGAAAATGAATGTAGCTGAGATGGATGAGTAGCAATGCTAGAAAGGGTGGAATCAGAAATGAGCACATTTGAGAAGACTCAGGAGTAGCCCCATTTGGTGATAAGAGTACAATTTTTATCTTAGATTAATTCTTAAAAGTTTTGATAATCTAGCAATAGAAATATTAAGGTTTTAAAATTTTGTCTGCTTGAGGTGCCCATATTTTTATATCTGTTTACATGGTCTCTCTCTCTCTCTCTGTATATATATATATATATTTATATATATATATATATTAGTAAAAAAAGAAGAATGTGTTATATTGGTTTTGGGTACATACCTCTGAATTTGTTAGATGATGGCTCTTAGCCCGATTGGAAATTTTCTGTTTACTTATTTGGGGAATGGTCATTACTCAATGTTTGTCCTAGCTATCTGGGGTTTAGGAGGGATGGACTGGATACAAACCTAACCTTTGGATATATATATATATATTTTTTTTTCTGGCATAAAGTATCTGCTCTTAGACTTGAAACTTGTTATCATGCTTGTGAGCTTGAGAATTTACCATTGCAAACCTTCTCTGGGCCTTCCTATTGGTGTTAAAGCTTATGCTATCTTGACTTAGCAACTGGTTATTGACAAACTTGAAGAAAGATGACAGTTGAAAGTGCAGGTATCTTTCATTTTTGGGCAGAACTGCTGTCATTAAGAGCACATTAGCAAGCATGCAAATTTATTATGTATCTCTTTTTGTGAAGCGGGACAGCATCTGTTGTTCACCCAATCCCCCCAAAGAAGGATGAACTGATGGACTATGGATTTTATAAAGATTGGACCCATGAACAAAGTACTTTTGGGAATGTGGTTATGGAGGTTTAGGTTGGAAAGGGAGTCTTTGGGGGTAGGCTGGTGGTTTATAATGGGTGAATGTTTTTATATGGGATTTAGGTTTCTCTTCTATACTTAGGGTTTCTGTGTGGATTTGGAAAAGGACAATGGATATAATTTCATCATTTGTTTGCTGAATGTACTAACTTCAAGGTGGGAGAAGGATATAAATTGAGACTTTGAAAAGATGAGTACTGTGCTTGTGAAGTTGGAACAAGGATTAGTTGAGTTAAGTTGTTTGCTTGGGAGATTATCTGATTATGTGACTTATGTCCAAGATTTTACCACTAAAGCTCTACGGAAATTCTAGTTAGTGAATGATTTGAAGTTAGGAATGAGCAGGGGGTATTTTGTCCCACCTTAAGAAGACCTTGTTTGAAAGAGAAAAACTTGTTCAGCAGATTGGGAACTCCAATTATCTCTGCTTTGTTATCATATGCAAGATGGTGGAAAGAATGTGCTGATAGTTGCTTCTTGATGAAATCATTCTAAGCTTCATTGGCTTCATTCCTAAGAAATAGGATGGATCATTCTCAAGTTAAAGGTTCATTGGGCAATCTAATCCTCTAAATATATTTTTTTGAGAAAAGTTTAACCAAATTACATTAAACTAGGAGAGAAAATATGAGAGGATGTACAAAACAGGGGAGAACCCCAAAGAGATTACAAGGGAGGAAGTCTGTCACTATATAGCTTTTCTAAGCAAGCACCTAGTTTAGCTAAGCCATCTGTAATAGGATTTAGCTCCCTTGGGATCCAAAACATATTTGCATTTAGACAGTTCAAGGAATCCCTTGCTTCTGCCAAGTAATGGCTCAATCTCCAAGGACCCCCTTCCTTATCCCTTAGCCATTTATGGTATTTGCTGAGTCTCCTACTATGGAGAGATTCTGAATACCCAAGTTTTTTACTATTCTGATTCCAGTGAGGGCGGCTAGCACTTCAGCCTCAGTTGAATCTGTAAATTCAATTGGGCCACTGAAAACCCAGCAAATATTACCTCTTTCATCCCTCAAGATAGACGTCTGTTTATGCAATAAACAGGATGAGCCTATTAGGTATTTGCTCATCCATTGTAGAGCTGCAGAGTTTACTTGATATTTCTTTACTGTTTTATTTGGAGGATCATTTTGTTGTCCTTCTCATCCTTGTGAAGTTTATTTCTATTTTGGCCTTCAATTTCTGAGGTAAAAAAAGTTGATTTTTTTTTTTATTCTAATATCATTTGCACTCCGTTGGGGTTTATGGAAGGAAGGAATAGGAGAATATTTGAAAGGAAAGAAAGATAAGAATGGTGTTGACACCTCAAAAAGAATGGTTGTTGATATTAGTTCTCTTTTAGTGGACTGGTTGGTTGTTTATCTTGAGTTCGATTACATGAGTAGAGCTTCTTTTGGTGTTGATCTATTATCAATCTTATACCTTGTAGTTGATGATGTTTAGATCTGTTTATATTGTATTAGCTCCTTTAGTGAGACTCTTATTTTGTTGTGGTCTTCTAATCAATTTCTTCTTGTAATATTTTCTTTTTCATCAAGAAAATTTTTGTTTTATACTTTAGTACAAAAAGCAAAAAATCTCTCCCTAAACAGTTGTAATTTTTTCTCTCATTCTTTAATAAAATTTATTACTTATAAAAAAGCAAAAAATCTTTGTATGGGTTTTGTCAAATTGGTACTTATGCTAAGTTGCTAACAATGTTTTGGTTGGATAAGGACATCAATTACTGTTAAACTATAAACATGAAGGTTTTCAATGCTTGCCAACTTTACTTCCCAAGCTTGTTATGTGTCATGAAATATTAGAAATTCACTAAAAATATTAAAAGTGCAGAATGCCTGCTAGAGTGTGGCTACTGATCTATATTTAACCCACGGACCTGGCTTGAACTCAACAATCCATATGTGTGAGTGAAAGGCAGCTGCATGTAGAAATATAGTTTTCTGATTTTTCGATCTGGGTCCTTATTGTATTGAATTAGTGACTATATTAGTAAGCTGGAATAGAATTTTATTGCTGCCATCAATGAATAAATCAATGGAATAAACTAATATATGGCATGTAATGCATTGATGACATTCTTTCCAGGAAACATCACTAGAGCTAGTAATAATTGGTGAAGATGGAGTTGTACAGTCAGTTTCTGAACAGACTGTATTTGGCACAATAAAAGATCTTGCTGTTGTACGCTGGAATGAAAAGTTCCATACACCAAATCCACAGGTCTGTTTTCACTCCCCATTTGTGGTACAATGTAGTCCTTGAAGGTTGTTGGTATAGATGGGTTTATAGCACGAGTATCTTGGAAATTTCTTTGTAGTTATGTTTTGGATGGAAATGGAAAAGCTGGTATACATGGAGAAGGCTATAAATGTGCCATACTGCTGAAGTTTGTACTTTATTGTTTTGATTGCCCAGTTTTGTTTTTGTTTTCGTTTTGTAGTTGCTGGGAAAAGATCTTTTGGTTGTTCTTTCTGATTCTGGAAAGCTTTCTTTCCTTGCATTTTGCAATGAGATGCACAGGTACTAAATATCTCCTTTTTCATCCTGAACGCAGAACAAAAAGGAAGCTATTTTTTGGTTTTTCTTGTATATTTTCAGATTTTGTAAAAATTAAGATAACATAGGTTGTCTATATTTATTTTTGGTATAGGTTCTTTGCAGTTACACATGTTCAACTTTCCCATCCTGGAAATGCAAGACACCAACTTGGAAGAAAGTTAGCTGTTGATTCCAAGTAAGCTGCTATTGTGGTGAGGGATTTCCTAGGAAATGATTCAAGTGCATGCTCTGTTACAAAAAGTTTAAATGCCAATTGTGAGGAACATATAGACCACTTAAAAATAAGATGTAAGAAATACACCAAACAGGCACCAACAAACCAATAACCAAGCAATTTTAAGAAGTAGCACTCCCAGTATACCAAATAGCTATAAGTGGTATCTGAATTGGATTCCTCAAAAGAGGTTGAACCGTTGAATCCTGGGTAACAAAAAAATCCACAAAACAAGACCACTCTCATGTCTTTATCTGCTGTAATTACCCCCCAACTGTCAACTGACCCAACTTTAGAACTAATAATACAGTCAAACATCAGACTGATATATAACTTCAACAAATTGCAACTACTCAAAAATTATGAGATTACTTTTTTGATAATAGAAAAACATGCCACAGTTCAATCATTTCCAGTCTCATGCAAAACAACTACCCCAGATGAAATCTAGGGATGAATAAGCATGAAATGAATTTCTGCCGTTGTCATTTTCACCGTAAAAAATGACTAAAGATTACCAATCTTTATCTAATGAGTGTGGAATCTGTACCAAAAACCTCCATAAACTATGGGCTATCAGCTGGTATAATTTTTGTGAGATCCAGCATGATCTCCTGCTATGGGTAAACATCATTTGTATGGTTTGATGATGCCACAATGTCTTCTAGATCAAGTGTTTTGCTTTGATACCAAGTAGGAATTTAAGACTTAAGCTATGTATTTGTTGTGATTCCTACTGAAGTATGAGAGAAGTGAAGAAGAGAGAGAAAAGAAAGAAAAAAAAGGAGAATAAGGAATGGTTGATTGATTCACTTGACCCCTCAATAATGAATTTAAGTTATAATGACAAAAAATGTCCTTCTATAAGTCAAATAAAGTTAGATCTGTCTTTAATACATAAAAACCCAGTTAATTCAGAGAGAATCTATGTTCTGGGCTGTTCTGTAAATAGTGAATAGTTCTTTTTGGGTTATTTGTTTTTGCCCACAACTTCTTGTTGTATAACTTCTTTTTAATCTAATGAATCAATTTTTTGTGTTCCCGATCAAAAAATAAAAAAACAAAAACCCAGTTGTACCCCCATAACTCAACACCATCCATAAAAAGAAAATTAAATAGTGAACTACCAAAAGTTACATCAATACAATTGAACTACATAATCAATATCCGGTCATCCACTACGATGTCTAGTGTGATCCAAAAATTAGACCTACAAGAAACTCTATTAACATTCTCAAACTTGGGGTGAATCATCCACCACTCACCCACTTTATCAAACATGACTAATATATGCTACAACCCTTAATAGCAGGGTTCTTTTTTTTCCTGTTTGTCTTTTGTGTGCTTGTTGAAGTCATTACAAGAATTGCAAAAAGAAGAACAATTTGGTGGTTGTCTGAGATTTGGCTGGCCTCTTAAGTACCTTTTTCTTTCTTTTGCTACTAATCCTAGATCTTTGCAGTTCTTGAACCTGGTTGTAGAGAAATTCAGCAAGAAGCTGGATGCTTAATAAAGAATTATACCTCCCTAGGTGGTAGATAGTGCTTACTTCAATATTCTTTCATCTGTCACTTTATACTTGAGAGTGTTACAGGAATTGAAGGGGGAAGGATTAGAGGTTTCCTCATGGATATTTAAGGATGCCAAATGAAGACGATATTATCAATTAGAACACCATGTGTAAAAGCAAGAAGTGATGCTTGTTTCAGTGAGTGTGGGTTCTTTTTTCTTTTCTTGCTTTCTCAGAAATAGCTATGCTGATTTGGAATATCCAATAAAAAGGGTCGTTGGTAGCCTCATGATTCTTAAGATCCCTATGGAAGGCAAAATTCCAATAGATGCCTTAAGGCAAAATTACAATTCCCTTTGCTCTACTCTGTTTCTAGTTACAAATTTGAACCTATTTCAAAATTTGGTCTAACATCCTCCTTTGAGATAGATTGGGATTGTGGTTTCAGGAGGAGCTTGAGGGGGGGTAGCAAATGTGAGTCCCTTGTTCTCTTATTGGTCAAGCTGGATTCGGTCTTCTTGGATCACAATTTGAATGATGGTAGAATTCGGTCTCCCTCCCTTGATGGATTCTTTTCTTGTGCTTATTTTTTCAACCTACTTGTCCACTCTGATTCCTTGGAGTTGAATTTCCTGGTGAAAGAGATTTTGTGTAAGCCTATCCCCCCAAAAATTCAAGCTTTGTTCCTTGGAAAGATTAATACCTATGACATGCTGCAGAAAAGGAGGCCTAACTTGTGCCCTTCTCTTCATATGTGTATACTTTGCAAAGCTTGTGGTCCTCATTTACTAATTTCCTGTCTTCTTGTGTCTTGTATTTGGGAGTATTTTTATTTTCTCATTGGTTGTAGGTCAGTCCCCCTCAAGATGTGGTAAGCCTATTTAACCCCAACTTTCTTAGGTAGCCAAAGAGGAGAATGAGAATTATGTGGAGGGCGGAAATGGCAACATTGATGTGGTCTATTTGTGAAGAAAGACACCAAAGAATCTTTATTGATAACAACAGGTCTAAGGAGGAGCTCATAGAAGCCATGAAAGTAAGAACTGCACATTGGGTAAAAACATTGGACCTCCTTAGAGTATTCTCAGTTAATGAGATAGTAAGAACTTGGTTTTGGGCTAAACAAGGGGCAGAAAGGGATTCACTGTTTTGGGCTAAGCTGTAACTTTAGTGTTTTTTCCTTTTCTTGAGGTCCTTTGTTGCTCTTGGAAGATAAGTGTGTTTGTCTTCCTCTTGTAAATCTTCTATTGACGATTTAATGAAAGTGTTATTGATCAAAAAAAAAAAAAAGATAGTAAGAACTTGGTCAAAAGTGGCACAAACAGATAGAAGGAAAGACAATGTGAGAGTGGATTGGAAACCCCCAGCTGAAAACAAGTTGATGCTGAACTTTGATGGTAGCTCCATGGGCAATTCGGAGAGGGCGGGCATAAGGGGTGTGTTTGGGAACCACTTAGGCATGGTGGAGGCTATGATTCAAGACCAACTGGTTTTGGTGACTGGGTGAGAGCTGAAATTAATGGCCCTGTTACAAGAATTGAGATTAGCACAACTACAGTTAAAAAAAGGATTGAGATTAACACGACAGCTTGATTTTCGAGAACTAGAAGTCAAAGGAGATACAAAGTTGGTCATATCTTGGATAAGGCAAATTAATTCAGCACCTTGGGGTTACAGACACACACCTTCTGGGAGATAGGTTACCTAGCAAGGGAACTCAATATCACCTTCAGTTGGATTAGAAGAACCTCAAATGGGTTGGTAGATGTACTAGGAAAACAAGGAGTTGATAGACATCATTTGTTTTGGGCAAAAATGTTAACTTTTATTTTATATTGGGGGGATTGGTTAGAGTGATCCAACAGCTGTACTAAACTTTAACTTCAGATTTTAATTAATGAATCTCTTTTGCTGATGAAAAACCAGAGTCTAGGAAGTCTTTGGCTTAGAAAGCGATCCTTCTATCTTAATTGTTACTGGAATCCTAGTCCCTGGAAAGCACATTGAGTTTAATATACTAAGGGAACTTTGAGAAGATTGCAATGATTGGAATTGGATCTCCAAGAAAAAGCATTGCTGAATCTATTAGTGGAGCTATCCTCCAAACTTTTGTATGCAAGCTGTATTTAATTCTGAAAACTGAACACCAGACTTGGGGGCTGTTTGAGAACCGCTGAAGGGACTGAACCGAATGGCTTATTGCTTTGTCTTTTTTTTTTGGATGAAATGAAGTAATTTTATTAGAAAGTGGATAAAATCAGGTCCAAGTGTCTCATGGAGAGGTGTGAGCTGCGACCTCCCCACACAATCAAAACCAAAAACAGATTACAGCTGCGCCCAATACAAGTGTTCCCTATTTGTTCCCTGCTTGGCCAAGCTTTCTGCCATGGCATTTGCTGATCTCCCCACCCAATGTGTTCTGACATACAGACTTCTTGTCAGCCATTTGAATTTCTTTATTTCATTCTTAAACATAGTTGTCAAGGCGACGCCTAGGCAACAAGGCGCCCTTGGAGGATCACCTTGCCAAATCACCAAGAAGTTTTCTATAGCATGTTCATAGTTGTCAAGGCGACGCCTAGGTGACAAGGCGCCCTTTGAGGCTCGCCTCGCCTAACCGCCTAGCAGTTTTCTACTTCCTACTATAAAATACTATTTTATTCCTTCTTTTTTGAGATTATAATTATAAAATAGACATTATTAAACTAAAATAATCATTTTGTGTGTTTTATATACTAATTTCTTTTTATTATTTTCTTATTTATTAGGGTTTAATCAACACAAACATTGCTAAATGCTGTATTGAACCCTCAAAGACTTAAAAACCTGAACCAATAAGTAAGGAAGAACTTAA